AATCAAAACAAAAAACCAGGAAAAAACACACAAAAATGCTTCTTGATAACACATAGGTTAAAAAAGATACAAGAGAAATTACAAAACACTTAGAATGAAATTATGAATTATAATGAAAATGGTACATACCAAATTTTGTACGATGCAGGTAAAGTAGTTTTTACAGGATAATTTTTAGCTTTGAATATATTTATTTTTTAAATAAATATTATAGTCAGTGAAATAAAAGCAGTAAGAGAATGATGTGTAAAGCCCGTAAGAGTGGTAATTTCAGAGGAGAAACACCCAGCTAATCAGAGCTCTTCAAAAAGCAGGTTTGGAATCTATTAGAATCCTACACCCAACCCTCACCTCCCATAGATTAGGTATGTCATCTTTGGCCAAGTCATTTAATTTCTTTATCTGTAAAATGAGGACAACAGTTCCTTCCTCTCTGAGCTAGTCTGAGAATTAAGTGAGATAATCCATGAAAAGCACTTAGTATGGCATAGAAAGTGCTCAATAAAATGCTCCTGTTACTAGATGACCATCATCCTTTCCAACTCCCAGATTCCAGATTCTAACTTCGATACAAAGAAATTTAAGATATGCATGAATTCCAGCCACAAAAATCTAATCAATGTATTAGACCTTCATTTTAATTTCACAATAATAAAAGTTTTATTTAAAATATATTCTTCCTTTCCACTAGGGAAGATACAAAAATAATACCTTCTTCCTATTATTATTGGTATAGAAATAAAACAAACAGTGATTAACAAAAGCTTGTCTATTGTTATTCATAATATTAAATCCAAAAACTGAATTCTATTTCAGAACCAAATTGAAAGCAGATAAATGTAAAAAAAAAAAAGTGCTAAAAATAAAGCCATAAAAAAACTGATTCTGTTTATTTTCAAAATATTCTATATGTTTTTTAATGTACTTTTCAGAAAAGGCATGGAGTTGAAAATGGCCACTATTGGTACATTAACAGGTCTGCAATTTCTTTTAAATCAAGTAGCATATAATAAACTGATCAATAACAGGCAATAGCACTTATTCATTTTTACTCTTCTCCAATGATGGTTATAGGTCTTTACTTTTCCAATTCTATTTTTCATTTTGCTGGAGAATAAGAACGTTTTCTAGCCTTTAATATTCTGATGTAAAAATAAGTTCTAAAAACATTCTCACTTCTTAGATATATCTGCCCATCACCATTCATTCCCTTTTCTTTAATTAGAATGCAGTAAAATATATTATACATAATCCATTATTACAGATTTTAGGTTTCTTCCTCTTATAAAATGATTTTATTTTTTCTTTTTCTTCCAGAAGGAGTCACTATACCCTTCTCTAGAACAATCACTTTCCCTAACCCATCTTTAAAAAATGTATGTACATGGGAGGTTCTTCATTATACTAATGAAATAAATTTATAGACACGTTAAAATCCATTGTATATTTTAGATGATGAAAGTAATCAGATCATACATAATTGGCTATTTTTTTGTATAGCTATTGTAGTTAGTGTTTCATACTAATTTTTTTCCTTCAATATGGTAGAAACTATTTCTAGGTCTAGAAATCTAAGTGTTATCACTTGTTAGCAAGTTTTCACTTCTGATGGTAGAGTTATGCTCATGTTTGTGGGTGTCTCTCAATAGGCTGTACAGCCTGACAGTCCCAGACTGAGGGCATTTACAAAGGAAAAGGAGAAGGGATTGTGACTAGGTAGCAACATGCTCTCATTTTTATGCATGGTTTAGCCTGTAACCTTGGTTTTCATTTTTTGCACCTGGCTAGATTTCTATATTCTTCTAGATCTCTTTGTAGTTTCCACAAAAGCACGACCCATACACGACATGCACTATGGTTATTGCTTCTCATCACTGAAGTTATGGGCGAATGGGTCAGACTGTGTGTCCTTTCATTACTGTACATTTAGGACACTGCTCTGGCTGGAGGCGGAAGGCAACAAAGCTGAAATATTTTAACAACGATCTTTCATTTTTCTAATAAGGATAAAAATTCCAGAAGTCTAAAATAATGTCACTACAAAGAAAGTTAAAGAATAACTTTTATTCCTAAAGGGTCACTTTAGCTCTCTTACCAGCAAATGAAGACACTGACTTTATATTTGTCCATTTGTCAACTTACTAATAGTGTGTTTTCCCAATGAGACGGTCAGTTCTGTGAGGACAGCGACTATGTTCGACTTTTTACTGCCTATTTCACTTACAGCTCAGCACAGTCCCTTGCTATTACCTTATAATATCTAAATAAGTACTTGCTAAAATAATGGATAAATAGCATATCAAGTGTTACTGTTCTCTATAATGGTGCAATCTAGTTAGGTAGGATGTAAAGTTTACTTAAAATTTTAACATCTTCATAAGCTTCTCTTTAATTTCACAGGAAATATATATATCTTTATTTTTCAGGGGAATGAAACAAACATTTATTGTGCCCATTATGCATCAGGCATTCAGGTACTGTGTTAGGGTCAATGCTTTGCAGAAACTCATATGTAAACATTATCTCATCATCCTACAATCAAAATTTTAACACATAAACAAGTCTATTCCTACCTCTGCCATTGACAGTGTGATTCTGGGAATTTTTTTTAACCTTTATGCACAGAACTGAAAATAAAAATCTATTAAGTAAAATATATTATTACTAACACAGTTAATTCCCCTCTTGTGGGGAACTATAATGGAACAAAGCTTCCACTTTGGAATTTTCCAGGTAATAGGTTTACTTCTTTCAAAGCTATTTCCTTTAATTTCAACCATTTTAATGATAATATTTTAAAACCTACTATATGTATCTGTATAGTCTTAACCAAAATATCTGGAATATGAATCCATCTTTTTTGATAACTCACATAACGATAGTGCTTTAAGGATAGCAGAATGGTTAAAAGCAGAGGTTCTAGAACCAGACTGTGTAGGCGTAAATCCTGGTAATACTACTTAGCTGTGTGGTCTTAGATAAGTTAACTTCCCTGAGTCTCAGTTTCCTTATCTGTAAATTGAGGATAATCCTACTATCCACCTCTTAGGGCTGTTCTGAGGATTATATGGTGATACATGCAAAGTGCTTAGAATACAAATGCAAGGCATTATAGTAAGAGCTCAAAAAATGATAGCCAAAAAGTTTCACTGTATTAAGGTACTGAGCTCTTTGAGGAGAGTTTGTTCCATTTCTCTCCACAGTTCAATATGGTCCCAGACTGCTACTTCTTTTAGTTTGTATATAAATTTTGTTTTATTTATATATTTCGTTTTTGTATAGATTTTAAATTATTTTCCTGTTTCTTTCCTCAATGTTATTTGTTAATTAATGACTTTATGGTACTTTTCCCTCTAATTGGATGCTTTACTGTGGGCTGAGAAATCAAAACATTGTAATGGCTAGACATTTGTAAGAAGAGGAATCCCCAGTGAGGGCCTCAGGGGCTTTCCCAAGAATAAGGTACATAAATGTTAATCTGGGACTCAGAAACATCTATTTCCATTTAGAAGTCTTCTGGTTTACTTATTGTGTTCTCAGCTGTGTTTGGAGAAGCTGGAAATATCAAATACCAAATAAGTGACCTATGGATTAATGAAGTACTATTGTTCTAATGCTGTCAAGCATTAGATTGATCAAAAACAAATGAAAGGTTGGTTTTTTTTTTTAATGCTTTGCACTGTTAATTTTCTACAATTATTAATCAGCTACCAAGGTAATTATTAAACTTTCAATCCAAACAATGTTTTTGGTGTAATACCTGAACCAATAAACAGATCTCACTACGAGGCTCAATTCTAAACCTTGGGTGTTATTAATCGTGGTAGTATACAAAGCTCAAGCAAAAATAACCGTTTCTGTGTGACTGAATCTACAGCTCTCATTCGGTGGTTATGTATTTAATGAAAGGGAGAAAATATGAATCACCAAAAGGGCTAAATGAAGTAAGAATTAATGGATAAATTAAAAACAGAAGAGGATATAGGGATTACAAATGCTTGGAAAATGCCAAAGTTGGAGGGAAATTTGGAAGAAAAATAAATAGAAAGATCACAGACTAATAATGAAAAATAAAGAGTAATTTACCAACTTTACTCCCAATCCCTAAGTGAATAATATGCTTCCAATTTAATATTCAGTTTAGTAGCATCTCTACCTTTTTCCCCCACTGTAGAGGCACAAGAGAGACTTTGATAAGATAACCATGTGCATCAGTGATGATCAAACCTTCTGTTCAAGTGGCCAGATGCCAGAAAAGACACAGTGAAACCCCACTCCCGGGATGTCTGAGCCTGAGCCAGAAACTGGCAGCCACAAGGCCAATATTTTTATATTCATGTATCTTTGTATCTTAAAAATTCATATATATTTTGCATTACATATCAATGTGTTTTTAATATAAAAATAATGTTCATAACAGTTGAATTATTTAACTCCTCTCATTCTCAAACTCAAATAAAATAGATGCTCCAGGAAGATTTGCATTGTGGTTCTTGTGGCTTCCCCTTCCCCTTGAACAACACCAATATGGTTAAGAGCATGTGAAAGCATGGGTAAAAATGATATCTTATTATAATATGATAAGCTCAAGGGTCTCAAATAATCCACAATAAAGCAATAATTCAATAATCATTAAATGAAAGCTCTAATTCTCACGAAACTCAGTGAAGCTAAGAAATCTGAAAGACTGGTAAGCTGGGCCCTGCAATCTTAAAATGCCCTCTTAGCTTTTCAGCTACAGTTCTTACAAAAAGGTCAATAATGATGTCTTCCTGCTCCAATATGGAATTAGTGTTTCCGTAAATACATTAACTTTAGAAGTACTGAATTACCTAGGAGGATCAGCACCACAATGAAACAAATAGTTGCTCTTTGCAAACTAATGATTACCAATACAGAGAACCCTGTGAAGGCTGCTTGATTCAATATGACCAAAGGCAAAGACACCAGGACAAAAGTACAAAGTATGGTCACCCTAAAGCCAGGAAGATGACACTCACCATCATCCTGATAATCTGACAAAAAAGGTGCATCTGATGTGAGAGACGGGCCATGAGGTCCACTGTGATTATCATCAGAGCTGTCCTGTCCAAAGTAATTTTCAGCGTGGTCTCCTCCTGAGGGCCCAAAGGAAAGAAAAGAAGGTCATATTTTTGATACCTTTATAAAGGTCTTTGTAGATTCCTTCTGTTATTCAAATATACCAGATATACCAAAAAGATATGTCTTTTACTTGATGGATATGGCCACTATACATTAACATAAGAGAAACATATAAATATACTCAAGAACCAACCTATCTTGATGGGAAATTTTCCATTCAACTAATTAGAACTTAGAGTCTGTTGGTTAGCTTAGAGTGAGGAGACCTCTTGCTACCAGAGGGAAATTTCTCCATCACACTTAAAATGAAAACATAGCTAAATAAATATATAAAACTTATATATACTGTGTCTCCATTAATTACAACTTTTACCCTGAATGCCTCTATTTCCAAATGAAAGAGAATAAATTACATAAAAGGTTAAACTTTTATACATAATATAATATAGCAAGGTCAATATTCTTTCCTTCTCTGAAAAATAAGGGAAGTAAAATTAGAGAGAACCTGGACTATTCCAGTTTAAATCACTACTTGTTCTGCAGTCTTAAGGAAGTTCCCTCTTTATAATTCTAGTTTACAGCCTATGCAACCAACCTCTTAGGAATTCTAAAAGCCTTAAGAAGGTAATATTTGTTCTGTAAAATGGCTTTGATGAAAGGTAATGTATATACAATACTGAATTATGCAATTAAAACAATGCTAATCCCTTTTGGGTGTTTTCAACATACATTGGATTATATTTTGTATAAGTGGCCCATACTATTATGATACTTTAAAAGGTTTAGATGGAAGATGTTAGCTCATTCAGAAACCAGAAGAAAAGGCTCTGCACTGCAAATGGCTTTCCTTAAAATCCCCCAAACAGAGGTACAGGCTGCTGATAAAAGGACACCAACAGCTGCTCAGTTCATTTCACAAACATGAAAAGGGGATTTTCAACTGAATTTAATATTATCTCAAATACTAATTTCCAAAGGAAATCACCAATGCTAATCTCAGTAAACAACTGTAGAGTTTTGGCCCTGGATTTCAACTAGGGAGCAGTGAAACCAAACAACCTACATAGAATCTGTATTGCCTCACTTTAAAAGTTTATTTCCTACAATTAAACTAGAAGGATAGGGAGGATATAAAATGATTAAAAGTGAATCACTGTAGCCTTCTCTTTCCATAAATTAGATGATTATATCTAGACTCTTCTATGGATGCTCAATGGTAGGTAGACGTCCATAAGAGAGTTGAACATCTGCAGATATAGGACTTTAAAAATAAACTAAGGAGTTTATTGTGGAGAAGAAAAGTAAAATTAAAACAAACAAATAAACAACCTCACACAACAGTCACTGGCTGGAGCCAGAAAAAATGCTCTCCTTTCCTAGGTAACTTAATCAGGATACAAAGCTTACAGTTATGCTTAAAGTAGTACTGTGAAATTTCTACTATAAGCAGAAAAATCCTTAAATACTGAACTGGGAGTTAAAATACTCAAATCTACATCATTGCAAATCCACTGAAATTACATTATCAAGAAAACCTAAATGGACTGCCTGGCAGTGAGGTTAAAGGAATTAAAAATCTTTGAACCAAAGCAAAATTCATTTGAAAAAAAACTGTACTTTGGGTTGCCAAGTAAAATTTAACATTTGTAGCATATACTAAACATTACTTAGCAACTATCACTCTAGACTCAAAGTTTTTTGCTTGCTTCAGAAATTTGACAAATTTACTCTTAGATGTAGCATTCCAGGATTTGAAAAAAAAAAAGCAGATCAGGAGAGGCTTTGTTTTGTTCTGTTTTTTCTTTTAATGAACTTTCTATTTTGGAATAGTTTAAAATTTATTATAAGTATTGCAAATAATGTACACAGAGTTCCTATATACTATTCAACCAGTTTCCCCCAATGGCAACTTGTTACATAACTAGCGTATATCTGTCAAAACCAAGAAATTCACATTGGTATATTGCTATTAACTAAACTACAGACTTAATTGGATGTTACCGGTTCTTTTCACCAATGTTTTTCTGTTCCAGGATCCAATACAGTTGCATTCAGAGCTTCTGTTTTTAAAGTCTTACCCAAAATATCTGTCTGGATTTTGCATCTGATTTACTAACTTCAGATGGAAAAGTCACTTCCAGTGATTTCTATAGTTTCTGAATATAGTTACCCAAGGTGGGCTTTTAACAGCCACTCCTGTGCCAAATACAAGACCATACCTCCGTAAAGTACACAACAACCAAGGTATATTACTCAATGCAGCAAAAACAGAGCCCAGGTCAGTACTAAAAAAGGCTGCAAGGAAAACATTTAAAAATATGTTTTACATCTTGGTGTAATTAGTTCCTGATGATGGAAATGTTGCTATAAGTGTTTTTAGTGTCATATCAAGTGGCCCACCTCCCTTGGGCACACACAGAAAAAAGCCTATGACATTATATGAATAGACACTCCCTTGTAATTAAAATGATTACAACTGCTCAAGATGCATGGGAGAAAAATTTTATAGATGAATCAGCAATTACTGTGATCATTTTGGGTTTGTTGAAGTTTAGAACATCATTTTTCCTTAAAACATAATTGCAAGTCATCTCTGGATTCATCCATAGCTCTTACAATCATAGTTCCAAGTGGCCACAACTGTAGTCCAGTGGGATCAGACATAAATGATCACAAACTATAGTGACAGACATTTCCACTCAGCAGCTCTACAATTAGGGCTTAGAACTCCATCTGCTTAGAGTGGCTTTCTTGCAAGCAAGACCCCTTGCCACTAGAGACACACTTTCCCATTGCAACTCACTCAGAATCAATATATTTCTATACAGATATATATTCTAACACACAATATCTCCATTAATCACATCCACTACCTCCAGTCCCTTCCCTTTGCATTTCTAAACAAGATCTGGGGGAACTATATCAAGCGTTCACCTGCTATTAGCTGGTAATTTGCTCCTCTGTCCTAAGTGTCATAAGAATTGGGCGCCAGATACACTCCTTAGTATATTCAATGGCAGGTTCTCCACCGAGTACTGTGCTGAGGGGCCTATAAGGAGGATGATTTCTCTATTGTTCTTTCCTTAGAGTCAAACTCAATTTCATTCATGCTCCGTAGAGTGATAAGTTGGGAATTTCTGAGGGTTGGAGCAGAAAGATAAAGCAGCTTTGTGTCAGGTGTAAGGTAATTATTTGCTAGGGTTTCTGGTGCTATTTGTTTTTATTCCCTGTGTTTTCATTAACAGCTAATGAGTTTTCTGCCTTAATTCTGAAACAATAGCTTGGCCACTAGAAGTTGGCTTTTCTGCCATGGATTCAACCAGCTGTTGCTGCTCCATAAACTTTATGGAGAAGTGAATTAAACTGCTAAAAACTTTCATTTCCTAATTCAATTCCAAATAAAGCAAGGGAAAAAAATGAACCATGATGATGTTCCCCTTGTAACTATCTTGACTCACAGCAAACCCATCTGATGCTGAACTTGCAGGTACCATTTAGGGGCCAAAACAGGCCATAGTGATAATTTTACCAGAGAAATAAGAAAGAAGGAAAGAAAAAAGACAGAAAGTAGTTTAAGCATGAAAAATGAGAATAACAAATAGATAAACCATAAATATATGTTTGCTTATTCAGTATGTAAAGGCTCAGTTTTTTTTTACATTAGTATAAAGTCATCATCTTTTACTTTTCTTCTAATTAATTATGAGCTATATTATAAAGAATTTATTCATACCTGCAACCAACTATTTGTACAGAGTGCTTCAAAATTTTCTAGGGTTTTGCTATTCACCAAGTATCTTTGGATAATGTAAGGAAATTGAAATCAATGTAAAATTGCCTCCTTTTTTTGGTTTTCATTTTTATTATTGCCATTGGAAGGGAATACATGACTTCTGACTCTATTTAATATTTAAGAACACATGAGACACACAGCTCCTTCTTTAAACTAATAAATCCTAAATAAAATGCTACAAATAAAGGTCCCTGATCCAAATCCAGTTAGTTTTCATGCTTGAGAGCATTAAGATTGCCAGATTTTCATGGACCAATTTACTAGGAATGCTGCTCACTATAGTTTGTGATCATTTATGTCTGATCCTGCTAAGGTAAGATTAGCAAAACTGCAGCTTATTATTCCTTATTATAACCACTCACTTAAGTTATTGAATATAACACCAACTAAAGAAATATGTTGGGTACATATGTGCCCATATATGTGAAATGCTATTCACATGTAAACATATTACGGAGCACATCTGTAACACCAAAGCTAAAGTTCTGTCAGCACTTCCGTCATAAATTAAGATACCATTTTGCACATACTCATGCACTAGAAAATGTATGGTGTTTCCCACAGAACATCTTAGAGGCTTCACCGATTTCTAAATATCCATCTGGATTTGCATGGTTAGTTCTTATGATTAATCCATGTGTAGTGAAGGTCTCAAATTCTTCTCTGTTCTATACAGTCTGACTCTCTGCCCATCTTTTTTCCCCCCTCTCCTACATCTAGTCATAACTCAATGTATAAATATTCTTTTCCCCCCAAGGCCCTGGCAGTGACTATAACAGTACTGAATGCCATTAAGTCTACAGAACAAATGATGGGCCAGGTAAAGAAAGTTTCCATTTATCATTCTTTTAAAAAGTTGCTCCAACTGAATCTTGAATGTATAAGAAATAAATTGAGCCTAAGACTAAGTTTTTTAGCTTTGGATACTGTTTACTAATTGTATAATCATGCTAACAGTAACAGACATCTTAAGAAACTTTAGGGACCTCATTTGCAGAGAGTAGCAGTCTAAATGGTAAGAAATGCAACCGAATTGATAAGACGGTTATAGCAGTCACTACGCCTATGAATCCAACAGCCAAAAGGACAGCATAGCTTAATAATATTTACAAGATGAACTACATCTGACAGTGGGGGGCTGGACAGGAAAATGCCCAGGGGAGCCAATAGAAAAGTTCTTTTTTCCCTCCTTCCTTTAAAAAAAAAAAAGGGTCCTGTCTG